ATAATCATGAGAAAAAATACCTTCTGATTAAGAGTTCATCCGTTTAATTTTGACCTCAAGTCAACATCAACAGCAATGATTAAAATAAAAATATAATAATTTTCAAAACCAATCTGTAGTACGTTCCTGGTTTTGGCGCGACACCCCCGCGTCGCGCAGCTACCCTAATTTACTACTTAAGTGGCACATATGGGCCGATTATTGCTGATTTGTGTGATGTTTGCGAATGATCTTCACAGTTTCGTACAACAAACCTTTACTAATCACACCAATCAAATTCATTGATGTGATAATTGAGTAAGCAAAACGTCAAGAAAGACCGCCAACCAAAAGCTCATCTTAGACTGCAAATATAAGTTCACCATGAGTTTTTTATGAGTTAGAATGTCATTTAAAATAAGTTGGTTGATGTTCGCTATGATCTCTATGAAAGTTAGAACAACCTTTAACATAGTATATATTTATGTACTATGTTTATTTTTGTTTTTTTTTTTCTTGTGGTTTTTTTTTCCTTACAAATTTCAGCATTTATGAACGAAATATATTACTAATTCAACCTCTAAGTTTTAGAATAATGCCACCTACCTTAAACAAATTTCAACAAAATTCTTGTTCACATTATTCTCCAACTAATTATTCAACCCGTTATCCTCTTAAAGAAATTCAACAACAAACAATAATACAAACCAATTCTTTGGAAGTTATAGATGAATATCCGAATGTTTATGTAACACGATGTTTTAAAATCAAGCAAGAATATAATTACAAAGCTTGGTGCCAGGGCTATTACCTATCATGTGTTAAGCATACTCAACGAAGCTGTTATCTGATTCCCAACGGGTATATGGTTGGTGTAAAGATTTATGGTATAGATACTATTGCTGAAACCCAGTATGATTGGGTAACAAAGTAATATATATGGTGACATGGGATGATAGTAATGGAGAAAAGAGATCAGTATCAAGCAATAAGTCAGCGAGTAATGTTGCATCTTTATTTCTACAGGTTGTAATCAAGTTAACTTTTTGTTTTATTATACACGGTGTGAGAGGCAAGATCGACCTCTAAGTTCTATTTTTAGCGTTTAGATCTATTTTGGGAGTTAAGGGTAGTACAAATTCCTGGAATTCCTAGTATTCAGGGAATTCATGGGATTCGGAGAACGATGGGAATTACAAGAATTCATAGAATAGCTAGAATAGCGAGAATAGTTGGAATTCCTAGAATTCCTAGAATTCTGTTATATGTAACGATTAATTATATATAGGAGGTAGTTTCCCTTCAAAATAAAGATAACTCAGTAGAGTTCGACTCAACTAAGAGTCTACTATCCATCCTTAAACATTTCGCTTAATTACCTTACCAATAAGCCAAATTCACCTATCATTAATAGTCTAATCCTGTAAATCCGAATTAGAGCTTCGTGACGTAGTCTAGAGCTCTATTTGGCCCTAATAACTCGGACCAAGTCTTTTCACGCCCTCTTTCGTGCCTTCCACCATTAGGGTTCAGTAGAGTTTAGCCATTGTAGTGTTGATTTTGGATTGGTTTAGTGTTAGTTGATATCTGTGTTGACCATATTTTGAGATTCCCAATTGGTCCACACTTTCACAACGTATTATACTGTATATTATACTTACTATCATATATTTATAAAATGAAAGTAACTGGAAATAACAAATCATTATTGTCCTGGACAATACTTTTTGGATTTGATCTTGAATGTTTGAAAAGGAGATGAATCAATAATAAGAACCTAGTGGTCGTACCCGGATAACTCTTTATCCGAAAGGGTATACCCTTTAATAAAATCTAATAACTGGTTTTATATCCTATTGAAGTAAAAGGATAATGGTTATACCCTAGGTTATATCAGGATATCATGTGATTAGTTTATCTACGTAGATTACTGGCCAATCAATTATAGAATTAAATAAAAACCGTGAATCTGCAACCTACGTGGAAGACCGATTATTTATATCAGTATAAAACAGTCGATTAATTTGCAGACAAGTTCATTCATAAACAGTACATTTCATAGACAAATTATTTTTTAGTCAATGTCACTAAGGTTAGCGCAATTTGAAAAATAATTTATTTGTGAAATGAGCTATTAGCAAATACTGTCTGTCTATGAAATGAACTTATATATGGTTATTAATTTGATATACAACATATCAATATTGTTGTTGTGACTATATTTTACCTTATATTACCCTAGGTTATCTCTTAAATTAACCGGATATCCTAATTGTGTAACCTGTAGTCAATTTTATAGTCAGGTTATCCTGATAACCTAACAGTTAACCAGTTATGATACCTTAGGGTACAAGCACTATCAGAACCAATGTCAAAGTCAAATTTGAATTAACAAAAATAAACCCTATCATCAACTTAAGTCTGAATCACAAAAAAAATTTGACTTAAATATTGGCCTGTAATATTCACAATAAAATCGAATCTACAATAAGTTTTCATAATTTTCATGACGCGAAATTAGAACATGAAAATTAAATTTAAATGAGTTGTTAGTTAGATTACAAAATGTAGAGTCAAAAAAACCAAAACCATTTCAATATTTAGATTCAGTTGTTTATATTTGCGATGAGTTTTTAATTACACATAATGGATATCATCAACTTGCTGCTATTGTGTCTGATATAGAACGTGAATATAAAGTTGCAGAATGTTGGTAAGAAATAACAAGAATTATAAACAGTATAATCCCTGTTAATATAGTTCAAGTAGGCTCTTTAATACCAAATGGCACTTATCAATCTTTTAAAGACACTTTACATGTTATAGTTTCTAAATTGGCATATAATGATTCACTAGTTCTACAAATAGAAGGCATTATTCATATTAAATTAAGTGGAGATGGCCAACAAGTTGGTAAACATCATAATCATATAATGTTTACTGCTTGTATACTAAATAAACATGATGCAGTTTTAAGTCCATTGAACTAGCGCATTTTACTTTATACTAGTACAGAACAATATAAATTACTTCAACAAGCTTTTAGCTTTTTAATTGATGAATTATTATTATTAAAAGCAGAAGAGATTATTGATTCAAAAAATAATCATTGGCCAATTAAATTTTGATTTAGCTCTGATTGGAAATTTATGTCTTTAGCACTTGGTATTAAAGGACCAACAGCAATTCATTTTTGTTTATACTGTAATTGTAAAAACACTGATCAGTGGAATATGGATTTAGACTACAAGAATTTGTACAATACACTAGGTCGCAAAAATTCAAATCTTTTACCCTTTTTAGAAAATCAACATTGTATACCAGATGAGTTACACATTATGCTTCAAATAACTGATGTTTTATTCGAATGTTTTTTTAGAATTGTCAACTAAATCTACATTTAATAAACAATCAAAAAATAGTACTGATATAACAATTCGAAAACAGATTGAATCAATAATTCATTCACTAGGCATTAGCATATTTAAATTTAAAGAACCTAAAACTTCAAAAGGAAGATGGTATTAATAGGGCCAGATAAGTTGATTCTTTTAGAAAAATTTCCAATTGATTTATTTATTTTGGGTCAAAGAGAAAAAGAAATTCAAAAACTTTGGTGGGATTTTTATTTTTTGTATAAAACATTACATAAAACTAATCTAACAAATGATGATATCACAAATTTTGAGACATTAGCACAACAATGGGTTAGAAATTTTTGTCAGCCAACAATTGAAACTAAAGAAGAAAATATTTTATAAGAGAGATTATATTAATGTAATAATATTACTCCTTATATGCATGTGTTTGCATACCATATTCCAAAAATTTAAGAAATTTCTTAAGATAAAAAATTTATATTTACAATGGTTTTCATGTTCAGGTGTTGAAAAAAAAACATTCATATTCAACTATTTTACGGAGAAACTACAATGGGTGGTGGCAGTTCTTTAAAGCCTGTAGCATATGAAATATATTCATATAAAAATCAGCAACTTTATTATAATATTAATGAAACATCTACATCATATTTTAAAGAAATTGTAAATTTTAAAAAAAATAAATTTAAACTATGACTACGTTTTATTTACATATCTCAAATTTATTTACATATCTCAAATTTAAACTTTAAAAGTTCAAAAGACCAAGTATAAATCTCTACATTATAATCTTCATTAGTCACTCATTTCTCCCAAAAAAATCCAAATTTAACTTCATCTTTACTCTAAATTCACTTCCTGTTTTTGTTTTTTTTTTGCCCCAATGAGAATATGAAAAAATATAACTGATTCTTTGGTACCCATCTCTTCCTTTATATATACACTTGTATTTTCGCCTAGCTGGCTGGAATTCAAAGCCTAGTTCTTGATGAAATACATAAAAAAAGGTTTTTAGGGCAGTATATAGTAAACTGTTTGAAGTTTTGGGCTGTTAAGTAAGTATGAAAACAGGACTTCACATTTGCAAGAAAAACAGACCGAAATTGACACAAGCACCAACTTGAAGGTAGTTCAAACCCAGAACTATAAAGTACGACCTGGTTATATGGGTGCTTATTTGCTTCGTGAGACAATAAAGACCTTCTTATTGAATATGTTTTAGAGCATAAATGGCAAAAAAAAGCATTTGACAAAGGCATTATTATTGGTTATTAATCATCAGATTAGTGTAACCATATGAGATATCACAATTTACATCACCCAGATCAGTCAAAATTAGCCCATATAATAAGTAGTAAAACTTTTGTACCTTGTTCACGAGACGAACTAAATGTTGTATCAAAACTCTGTCCAGTTAATTCTCAACAAACTGAGGACTTCTGTGGTTGATATTATTCAACTCTCCCAACCTACTGAGAATTGTTGTGGTTGTTTTCAAGTTCCCAATGAATTGTAGAAGCCGTAGTTTGTTAGTTCCAGTTTGAAGTCTTAGTGAAAGAACTCAAGCCATGGTCTCATTAAGAAAAATTGTAAATTGATAGTATAAGTGTTAGTGCTAGTTCCAACATAAGTCTTAAGAAGGCAAACCTATGTCCAAAATCATCTACTCACCAAATCTAAACACCTTTTTGACTAGATCAAATATAGATTACACAAGAGTTTCAATTGATTAGCAACCAACTTGCCGAACTAGGTTGTCATTAGGTAAGGTTAACTCCTACAGGGAGATCCTTAAAATTTTGGGTCGGAAGCTTTAGAACTCTGATTAGAAGGGCTGAAGTTAATTGATTTTGCCTCAAGATTACTAAGAATTTTACTAATAAAACAATAGTCATTTATTAAGTAAAAAGTGCCTAGCTGATAATGTTACTATAGCTTATAGCTTCCACTAACCCTACATTCTGGCTATTTCAACCCAGAATTTTAGGAATTCCACTATAGAAAATGATAAGGTTGTATCATTTTGATCATATGACCTTGTGATATGATGACTCACAAAGTTATATTTTGATTGACCTACAGTTAATTATGCCTAATGAATGGATTTCGTCAAGCAACATCGAATTAACAAATAACAAAACGGTTTCGTCAAGTAACATCAAATTGATGAATTATGAATAATGAAACTCGTGACTAATGACTAGCCCCACAAGGAGTCTAGGCACTTTTGCAGTAACGTGATGTGGCGTACAAAAAATAACCAAGTGTAATTCGTAAATTACAATTATTCCAAATCAGTCTGATGTTAAAACAAAACACATGTGCAAGAAGAAAAAAAGAGAAAAAAGCGAAAATACTCAAAAACCGGTATTTAAATCAGCCTTTAAACATTAACAAAAAGTGTCAGAAATGCAATTTTACATATATATATAAAGCTAAAAACCCTAAACCATAAATTAAAGCAAAAAATATGCCACACCACATGATGGTTACATTACTGCAAAAGTGTCTAGACCTCTGGAAGGGCCTAAAGACAGAACTCGTAATGAAACATAAATATTATATAACAAATATAAGAAAAACTAAAGAAGGTATTGAGCTAATTAATGAAAATAAATTAGTCTATGTGAACTTAATTTTTGTTCATTATCCTGTCTATCCAGTTTCTATATATTCTCTGATGATTTGCATTACTTACCAAATGTATCCAATATATCCGACAAGAAGAGACTGCCAAAAACTTTATGAAGAAATAATAGTAATTTTGAAAATCTAAGATTTAGAGGTTGCTATAAAGAAACTTGTTGAAAGATGAGAAACTGTATTTTTATATTTTATTAATCAAATTAATTTGTAATAAGTTTTGTTAATCGTCAGTAGTTATGTCAAATCATCAGGTTTTATCAAACAAAACCATTGACAAAACTATTTCATCAACTCTAAATTGTTTTATCAGAAGTCATTAACTGCAGTTACTTTTTTGATAGGTCTAAAATTGAGGTAGAAATTTTGATGTATTATATTTATTATAAAATTTAAAATTTTCAAGTTTGATTAAAGATATTTTGATGACTGCTCTACTAAATTCAACAGTTTTGTTGTATCAAAATAAATTTTATTTATTTTTTGATAGATGTTGATACAATGCAGGTTGGTAGATGATGATCACAAATTGTAATTATTTAGTATAAAAATACATTTTACAATACTGTTAATATGAATATAAATGTTTAAATGTTTATCCATAATTATGTATTTAAGCAAACCTTTAAACCTTAATAAAGGTGAGGACAGCAAGATGTCTCAACGCTCTTCATTAATAATCCACATGTTGCTGTATATATTTTTTACCTGTTAACCATCAGAGCTAAACTAAGCATATGTGTTCATTGCTTTCCTAACCTAGATAGTAACAACGTTTAATATATTTAGCAATTACCTGAATTTTTTATATTGACTCTACAGATATGTAGAAATATAATAGAAAAAATTTTTTTATCGAATTCAATGAGTAACTGCAAATATATCTTTGCTCAAAGTTTTATAAAAATTTGGCAGCAGCTATTTTGATAGATGTTTTAAATGTTTTCAAAACTTTGATGAAGCTATTTAACAATCATTTAGTCAAACTCGATTAATTTTTTCTTTATTAATAAAAAAAAAAGGTCAGCTAATTTGAAGGATGGTTGATGAAATAACTTTGCTCAATTTTATAAAAATTTGGTAGCAACTGTTATTTTAATAAATATTTTACTATTTTTAAACTTTGAATGAAGATTTGTTGGCAACCATCTATTCAAATTCGATAAATTTTTATTATTATAATTTGATTTTACAGATCCATAGAAATAAAATGAAAAAATTTACAGAATTTTGATGATCAGTAGCCAAGAAATCTTTGCCAAAATTTTATAAAAAAAATTTGCTTTATTGATTGTGTAATATTTTCGAAACTTTGAGTGATTATATAAAAAAACAAACTCATTGAATTTGGTGAGTAGTTATTGAAATTTATAATTAGAAGTTTTGATAATATTAAATACTATCAAAATAACAGCTACAAGGAAAATTTCATAGCAACCACTTATCTAGATTTGATAAATCTCCCTGCTTTTAAAGTATTATTTCGGTTATGCTTCTGTAATTAAAAGTAATGCTTTTTTTTGCACATTAGTGTAACCAATAAATTAGGTGACACATAAGGGGCTAACAAATATTAGCTCATTATACTTCCCAGGATTTTCATTTAGTCCTACCAAGAGTTAGTCATTTGACAGTAAAATTTACAAAAATGCATAATTAGGTTTTTGACAGTTTGCATTATTAACTATCAAAAATCTAATTTTGCATTTTTTGTAAATTTTACTGCGTCAAATAACTGACTCTTGGTAAAACTAAGTAAAAATCTCGGGGGTATAATGAGCTAATATTTGTCAGCCCCCTAAGTATTTATTAATTCAATATATTATAAAATACTTATTTGTTTGCTGTTGATTGGTTACACCCATATGAAAATAAAGCATTTTTGTATAATCTGAGTTTCTGAATGAATTAAAATTTTCCAAATTACAAAATTTACTAATACAGTGGACCACTAGTTAACATACTAA